GGTGAGAATTGAACCCTATGTTTATCAATTACTAAATTAGGAAAAGACCGGTCTAGAACACTGAACTGAGATAGCTATGTAGATATCGGAAAGAAAACAGCAATTTTTTTAGAGTACTCTTGTATAAATAAATGTGATAAGATCGAATGAACGTGATTTTGAAGAAAAAATTATCCAATTAAAAATTTTTTTTCGAGTTGACTCAGTGAAAATCGTCGTTTTCTTTCACCTCGATACTGTCACTATTTTGGAAAGAAAACGAGATTTTTTACAAAGTAGGATCTGCAATTTTTAAAGTACTATTTATACAGTCGAAGTGACACTATCGAGGTGAAAGAAAACGAAAATTTTCGATTTTGTCTCATTACAGTTGTGTGACAAAATTGTGTGACAAAATAGAAAAATTGTTTCGATATTTTAATATAAAATAAATTGAACGTTATTTATTTTAAATATGAATTTTCGATTATATCACATTACACATTATAATTGAACTTATTGTTTATTATTTTCCTCTTTTTACAAGATTACATTCTCGAATGTCTAAACCGTTTTTATTTTTATGACTGACCATTTTCCATTCTGGTTTGATTAATCTTTTAAATAATAAGGACGAAAATTTGTATGATTTTTTAATGTAATTTCTGTTTTGTACTTGCCAAACATGTAAGCGAACAAATTTGTAATATTTTAGATCTGTTATAAATGTTATATCGGGTTTCTGAGTTTTAATCTCGATATATGATATGTTATCGATAGATATGACTCGAATTTTATTATAGTGTTTATTTTTACCCCAGAAAAAATTCGAGTGTACTTTGAACGTTGGGAAAATTTCTTTCCATGGCGATTCGTTAGTTTCTTTTTCAAGAATCATTTTTTTTTAATTTCGATAATTAAAAAAATCTAACCTTTTATATTTTTTTTTAGCGATATAAATTAACATTTCGATTTGATTTTTGAACGAACATAAAATTTATTTAAAGATAATTTATATATGTATTTTAAAAGTCTATACTTTAAATTTTATTTATTAATAAATAATATTTTATATATACTTTAATTTGAAAAGTTTATTTTTGTGAGATTATTATAAAAATCTACTTTGGTTAATCTAAATTTGAACATCGATTAACCAAAAGTAGAATACTATAAAAATATATGACAAGTTTTAATCAGCTTTTTTTATGTTAATGCTAAAAATTATGTAATATGTAATTTAAGAAGCGTGATTAGTTAAAAATCATAAAAAAAATGAATCGTAAAGTATTTATTATTTTATATATTTATTTTAATTTTTTGGAATAAATAATAAAATGTAAGTTTATTTAATTGGATCAAGAATTTATCATTAATTTATGATTACTTGTAATTATTTTATTTATGTTTAAAATTTATTTTTTTTATGTTTTTAATTCGATTCGTTATAGTTTAATTTTTTTTCAACATTTTGGAATCCATATATCGTTTAGTTAATTTAACATAGCAATATACCAATTCTATATCCGTAACAAATGGTAGTTTAAAAATTCCATTAGAATTACCTGTCTCAGTTGATTTCTGATAATATATAAATGTTCTATGCTTCTCTGTTTCAACACCAATTCTCGAATAATAACAATAGCCAACTTGATAGAATCATTCATATCTGAAGATTTTTTATAATGAATGAACGCTTGATTTTCAACTTTTTCAATTCCAATTCCGTATTTGTAATAGTAACCAAATCAGATTTTTGACAATCAATAAAATTCAGTTGATTAAGTAACGTCATATGATGAATCTAATATTCATTCGATAAATAAATAAACAAAGTCAATAAATATTAAATATCAAGAAAAAATAGTTACTACTATCGTTAACTAATTACACCACATTTTATTTTATTATTAAATAAAATAAATTATATTAATTTTGAAATTAAATTAATATTTTATTGAGTTATCGCTTTGTATAATTAAATGATTGATTTTTTTTTATTTAATTTATTTTTTTATTGTAGATCAATAAATTCGATTGGCGAAGTCGGATTATAATTTCCGTTCGATTTAGATTTAGAATTATTTTTTAGTATAAATGCGGTATGTATATGTATATAACCTAAAAATAAATTTAAACAAATTTAAAATAGAAAGATCAACATTTTTTTTTTACAATAAGGTTTTGATAACGCAGAAATGTCTTTAGTTTTTACTCAACGCTTAATTTTTTTCACAAATAAGTATGTATTTTTATTATTTATAATTTATTTTTTTTTATTAAATTTATTTTTTGTAGAATGTCTGCAACTGAAAATATTAAAAAATCATCTGAAGAAGCTATTAAAAGAAGAGAAATTCAAGAGAAAGAAAATAAACTAGGTTTTGAATTTGATATAATGTTAAAATTACGTTATAACAAACATACTTACAATTTAGTTTGTCATAAGTTAAATTATAATACGGGTCTTTTAAGTTTTATTATTAGTTTAATCATTATTGTTATCGCGTTATATTATTTTTCTTTTAAGTTTCATTAAGAAAAGAATTTTTTAAAACTTAATTAGATGGTTTAGTGAAGTATTTATAAATAAACTATCTTTTTTTTTTCGATTTTATTATATTTTCGAAATATTAATTTTTGATTAAAAAATAAAAAATAAAGTAATAAATAAAAAAAATATTATATTTTTTTTAAGTGATATGTTTGTTAGCCTTGTAAAAAATTTGCAAGTTGCCCAAGTCTCGCTACGTGGAAGCCAACATATCTCGAGACTCATTGGTGAGGGACATATTCGTAGGCACCAACCCGTTCCAAAACGATCCTCACCCGTGTAGATTGAACAATAGCCTCAACAGGGTAAGGTGTAGGTTTTACCCCAGGTCAGGCTCGGGGTAGTGCTCTCCCCGTTACCTTTCACATGGATCGCCCGCAATCAAATCGAAACGACCAGACCGTCTACAGCTATATGTGGTCAATACCACACGAAATTCAGAACCGTCCCATACAATATGCCCTGGAATACTTAGCTTCGGAGAACGAATCTCCTAATAGTCCCAACTGCCACGAAGAGGCGTATTCCTTAGTTGGGGTATAATTTAAACACATCAATCCCAGATACAAACCCAGAATAAATTAAAACATCATGTCAACGATGTAATAATGATATAATTATGATACAATATGATATATCAAATTCGTATTAATTAAACGCCCTAAAAATAAAGAAAAAAATTAGAATTAATTAATTAAAGAAGAAACATATAAATAATATTTTCCAAATCTCATATCGATTACATGTTCCAGTAAAAATAAAACCTACAGAAAGAAAGAAAATATTAGTTCAAAAGAAAAAATAGAAACAAAAATAGAAAAACAAAAAAAAATAATTTCATAAGTTAAATAAAAGAAATGATACTTATCGTTAAACCAAGACCAAACCTAAAAAAAAAAAGAAATCAAGAAAGTTAGTAATAAATCATAACATAAAACAACCCAACTTCAACAAAAGTACCAACGAAACAATATAAACAAATCTGCAAACGACAACAACGTTAATTCTGAAAACAGCGACATCATAACAACTCCAAACTGATACTCATACAAATCTAAACACGAGTGAAAAAGAACAATAAAAAGAACAAATTTATTAACAGTAAAAGATTAAAGCCAAGAACGAAGATGGACAAAATCTAATAAAGACGTGTTGAAATTATATAATACTTACCGAAAAACGAAGATTCAACAAAAGAAAGCGTCAAAGAACGACAGTAGAATATGAAAACTCCAGAACAAAAAGAAGCGACGAGTATAAACGAAAAAAAAAAAGACTTATGAATAACAAACAAAAAACCTAAAGTCTATAACTAAAATACTTACTTTAGAAATCAAAACCTCGAAAGTTAAGATTGAAAAGACGTAGGACCAAAAAAAGTAAACAATCACCAAGAACAACGAAGGAATACTAAATTTATAAGAGATAAGAGGTACACCATAAACGACGAAAAGACTTGCTGAAATACTAAAAACAACGAAAAGCGCCAAAACTACGAAAGGAATCCGAAGAGAACCCGAAGTGAGAAGCACCCGACGAAAAAATATTTGCTGAAGATCAAAACTGTAAAACACTTGCTATTAATAAAAAAAAATAATATCAAAATACCACATTAAAAAAAAAGAAATTAAAATTATTTAAATTACGTAATCATTAATATGTAATAGATAACGATTTTTTGATCTAACATCAATACGTATAAAATACCAAAATCTAGTAAATAAATAAATATCAAAAAATAATTTGCATAAAAGTTAAAAAAAAAATAAATTATAAATTAAATATTTTTTAGAGAAATAAGTGAAATTGATAAAATTGAACAATTTATTTAAAGTAATTTATAAAAAAAAAATTTTTTTTTTAATAAACATAAAATTTTGTAAATTACAATCCAATTTATAATTTCAATGGTTTTCAATCGAAGGTATAACTTCTAAAAACAATCCGGTAAAATTTTAGATGATTTTAATTATAAAAAAATTTAACTTGTCCAATTCGAATTAAAATTTCTATTGTAAAATAATATAAAAAATTCGTGAGTACTTTTCAATAGAAATTAAACAACCAAAATAAATGTAAATTTTAAATTAAAATCTTAATTTATTTTTTAAATAGTTTAATATTTATTATCGTGAATCAAACATAATTGAATTTGTACGTCATATGAATCGGTTAATAAATATTATTAACAAGTTTATCGGTTGTACTTATCAAGCCGATTTACGAATCTAGTAATAGATAGGTTAAATGATTATCCAATAGATTATTTAATTTATATTATTATATTCAACTATAAAATAGATATTTAAACCTAATATATTTTTTCAAAAAAAAAAATGCCGCCGATTAAAAGGAAAACAAAAAAAAAAATTCTATTTTTTTTAAAGTATATATTATAATTATTTAATATTATCTATTTATAATTTTTACTAATTAATATTTATAAAAAAATAGAAATAATAAAGACATGTCTCTTGCTGGAGCTCTAGAAGTTGGTATACGAGACAAAAATGGAGAATTAGAATATAACCACGATATTCAAGATTTCGAAAATCTTTTGTTCAGAATCAAGATTGAAACTTTACCTAATGAAGAAAATTCTGCAAGATTGTTTTTTGTTAATAAAAATGATGAGAAAGAAATTACTGTTCCTAAGGGAATTAAATGTAAAGATGTAACTTTTAAAAAAAATGTGCTAAAATCTCCTTTACCTTTAACGCAATATTTTTTGATTACACATCTGATGAAATATGTGATCTATTATGATCCTGAGAAAGGAAAAACAACAAAACGTACAAAAATCTATTCAGTAAACTCTCAAAAAAAATTTAACATTCATAATTTTAAAAAAACAACTGAAATCTTAGAAAATGAACGTAAGAAAAGAAAATCCAAAGAAGA